AACTATTTATTTTACTTTTCAATATGTTTTTGTCAACTGGGTTACACAAGCAATCAATAACTCCATATATGAATACATCAGTATGCACTATATTGTTGCTGAAAGTGATTCAGAAGCAGATCGAATCATTGAGTGCACTTAGTTTTTGTGTACACTCCTACCAGACCTACAGCTGCGTGGGGTGATGAAGATTATGAGGCAGTTTGTCTGTCACTTAGGTTATCAGTTTCCTACTTGGTTTTTGAACAGGCGCATCTCTACAGTCTGCAGTTAGATTATTATTATTATTACTATTATTGTTATTATCACAGGAAACAAACACATGAAACAGTCTTCTGACTCTATTGAAAGTGATCGTTGGTCCGGAGAATGTAGAAACCCATACAAACGCTTTGGCTGTTTTCAAGGCTGGGATTAATTCATACAAATTAGTTAAAAGTTCATGACTACAAGCTTAATCAGGCATCACATTTCCACATATCTGTCAATGAAGGTGACCCACTTCCTTTTTCCTGTCATAAGCCAGACTGACATCCTGACCTCCATTCCTGACTCTTATCCACATCACACAAACTCATACGCTCTAAGTCAGACAAACTGTCTGCTGGATGTGGGCACTGCTCTCCAAAATGATAGGGCAGCGATCCAATTATGTTCAGCGTGTTTAGCATATGTAGCTGTGCTTAATTCTTTGTGTTAATTAGAGTTGTCTGAAGTTACATGAGGTGAAACTAAATGTGACTTATTTAGTTTAAGAGTTAAAAAATAAAACAAATGATTTTTTCTTGGTCAAAGTTGATATTAAGAGTATATATGGTATCTACTAACATCATCTAAAAGCAAAAACAAAAAAATAACAGCAGCATATCATCATCATCCACAGAGAGGGCTGCTGTGTATCTCCAAACTGCAGTGTGTATATCTTTATGTCTAGACAACTTTTATAGCAAATCTTGTTTTTGTGTGGGCGTTCTGATTATGTAATTCCAGTTCTGTTCCCTTTAGGTTTGGTCTCTTCACCTAAATTCCACGCCTGTCCGCTAAAGGAAAGCTTTTTAGTGTCTGACTCATAAATCTGTGTTGGAGGTTCAGAGTCAGCTTTCTCTTGGATGCCTGGTACCAAGCTAGCGCTCAGTGCTTAACACTTGAC